ATACATATATATATATCAAATATATACAATCTATATATACTATGTAAACCTAGTGGTATCTAGCGTAGTTCAAGCAAAAAGACCCAAAATATTTTCTTTGCTCGTTTTTATTTTTATTGTAAATAAATTTTAAACTAATTTTTAACAATTTCATTATTATTTCTTTAAGTTAAGCTACATGAAGCTCTAGCTTGGATTGTGTGAGAAGCGATGGCAATAATCGATTATCGATCAGCGATCATCGATCACCGATCATCGATTATCGATCATTGGAAACGTGTTCATATTGATTTTAACAAAACCGATTTATATATCGCCTAATCTTAAGTGCTTCATTTGTATAACTTGGAACAATCAAAATGATTTGATGAATTTTTTGAATAGATTGGTGCTAAATTTTTCCTCTCTGTGTATTACGTTTCAAAATCGAGTACATATGTATGTTAGAACATGACTTCAAACCTTTAAAGCTCTTCTTTAATTGTTGAATTTATATAGAAAAGATTTTGTAGAAATTAAAAAACGAAAAACATAATATAGCGGGAGCTGCGCTTCAGATCTAAGGGCGTGGCAACCAGTTTAATGCTCCATGTGTACCTTTCGCTTACTGAACTAGAATATCAATAAATATATATATATGTATGTATGTGTTTGTGTCTGCAAGTATCGAAAGTTCTTAACTAAACTAAATTGTTCTAGCTGCAGATCCCAGAAGTTCAGTGAAATATCCCTGTGAATGTAGCATTAATACTTGATTTAATTAAAATACATAACTAAAATGATATAAATATACATACGTATACATATATAAATACATATATGTATAACATATAGATGCAATTTTTTACCTACTGTAGCTTTGATTACATTTTTGAATAATGTGTCAAATTTTAAATGATATTTACGATTAGCAACTACATTCATTACATCAATTACTCCACTACAAAATATAAATAATAATAAAAAGCAAAATATGAAATATAAACTCGACAACAAAATTTCAAAGAGAACAAAATGTCAACTTCCTATTCCTTTCTCTTTCCCTCTTGCTAGCTAGTGTAAGTACCCAAAGGAAAGTTAAATCAGATATCTAAATATATGTGCATATATGATCATATCATATATATCTATATCGCTTTTCTAAAGACCATTTGGCGATTAGATTCAAGCTTAAAAAAATCTGTAAAGCGAGAGATATATATATAAATATATATGTATATGTCAGCCCAATATACTAAACTTCTATATCTGATATATCTGATCTAATAGTTATAATAAGCCACAACTTTTCTGTCTACATGCCATACAAAACAAAATTGCTATCAGCTAAAGCATATGCAAAATCATATACTACACATATGTATATTGCTATGCATACTGTTGTTTCCATTTTATATTCATATATACATGTGCATATTTGTATATGAAATGGAAGCCACAGTATGCATAGCAATAGGCAACAGCAAGTAGATAAGAGTACGTCATAGCAAAATGATATATAAATAATAATTAAAAAAGCAAAAACAAGCGCCGCAAAATGTAATAAAATTACAGAAAAAAAAGTACTTGAAAAGCAAACAAACAAACGTCTTTGAATAAACAGATAGTTATACAATTCTATACAGACTTTCATATGTATATATAGATAAGATGAAATGACTGACTAGCCTTAACTATATCAATATATAATGAGTTCAATCTGTGGTTGTTCCCTTAAACTAGTCGCTTATATATTTCATAGAAAACGGATTCACTGACAGTCGGACTTAAGTATATATCTGTAGATCAACAGGTTTATTTCGATTAACAATGGAATTGCCTTAAGGTACTTTTTTAATAGTAATCAAATGCTATTTGGTTAGGCTTCAGGAGCAGATGTCTTGTTGAGTTCTCCCATTGACTGATAGATTCCGAACTAATCATCTCTTGGCAGGGGCTGGTATTGTGTCAGCACCTTGGCCAGATCTTGGGCTAGCTGCGGTGTGGCAGCGGCCAGAACACGGCGTGACATGATATCAAAGTCCCCGCCAGCTGGATCGATGACAACGCCGCCTGCCTCGCGCACAATCAAGTCACCGGCGCAGACGTCCCAGGCATGAATGCCGAACTCGTAGTTGGCATCAGCAGCGCCAAGAGCCACCATGGCCATGTTCAGAGCAGCAGAGCCTAACGCGCGCAAGCTAAATGAACAGAGGAATCATTGAGCTTGCTAGCTAGCATTTATAAGCTGTCAACTAACCCATGAACTTGTTTGGCCATTTTGGCAAAGTTCTCATTGACCACTTTCATCTTCTCTTCATCGCGCGAGGTGCCGAATTCGCTGGTGACGAGCGCCTTGCTTAGCTCCCGCTGTCCACTGGCCTGGATGCGGCGTCCATTGTAGTAGGCGCCTTGGCCACGGCGTGCCGTGAAGCGCTGCTCCAGCATGGGATTGTAGATAATGCCAATTTCGGTGACCTTATTCACCTTGAGGCCCACGGAAATGCAGGAGTGCGGAAAGGCGTGCACAAAGTTCATGGTGCCGTCGACGGGATCGATAATCCAGGTTGGCTCATCGGTCAGCTTGTTGACTGCGCCACCGGAGCTGCTCTCCTCCTCGCCAATGAATCTGTAATGCGAATTTTATGTTAGGCATTGGCATTTACATTTGAAATGATGGCGCCGACTTGTGATCCGGAAAATGCTGGCGAATGCCGTCCATGATTAGCTTCTCCACAGCCTGATCGGTTTCTGTGACCAAATCAATATCACCGGATTTGCACACAAACTCCTGACGCGTCTCATTGTTTCGCGCAATCAACTAAATGAAAACTCCTTTCTTCAATTATTTTCCAATCAAGGCGTGGCAAAAGACTTACCCGACCGGCCTCTGTTACCAGATTATTAATAATTTCAAAGCATTTGCCCAAGTCTACGCTGTCCGCCATTCTACGCCTGCTTTTTTACGTGTATTTGACGAATGAGTTTGCTTAATTAAATTACGTTTGCGCTCAGCGAATGTGAAAAGTTTCAAAATGCTGACAGCAAACAGCTGTTTGACCAGGGCTGCCAAATGATTGCAAAAATGTATATTGGCAAAAAATTGACCTGTGCTGCCAGATGATTGCAAAAAGAATGAATATTGGCAAGTAGAGACAACATTGAGGTTGTGGTGCGGCGAGACTCACAAATCGCTATCGTCGTCAGTCGATTATTCATTAGGTGTATGAAATTCAAATGACACAAATATCAACTGCAAATTAACAATATAAGACTAACTTAATTAATCAATTTAGTTTAGTTCAAATGAAAACAAGTAAAATTAACGTATTTTCCGTTCTGCAATATTTACTTGATTACATGAATTTTGATGAAATAAATTATTAAGGATTTCGATTACTGAGCATTATGGTATGCTGTCGCCCTAGAACCATCTGATTCTAACTCATCACTTGAGTCGGAAAATTCTGTCTGTGCACTAAAATCCCTTGTTAGGGGTTGCGAGGCCAGTGACTCATCGTCTCTTGGTGTCGGATAATCCTGTACTAGTTCGACAGATAGTGCCATTGCTAGTGGCCTGCTGGAAGCTCCTAGAACGCGACGTGACATAATATCAATTGAACCGCCAGCCGGATCTATTACCGAGCCGCCTGCCTCTGTGATCAAGATACTTCCAGCAACCATATCCCAGACGTGAAGGCCAAAAAAGTAAAAGGCATCTGAGGCMCCAGAAGCGACCATTGCCATGCCCACGCCCGAAGACCCAATGGTGCGCAACCTTAAAAAAATGCACTCAAATAAGTGAAAGATCGTTAAACGTGGAACTTAGCAGTTAGACTTACGCTTGTGTCTTCCTGATAAGCCGCTTGGCATTTTCCATGGCTCCTGAGGTTCGGTTTTCGCTCATATCAGAGTTGTACTCCTGGAGCACCAGCGCACTGTTGACTTTATCCTGGCCGCTGACTCGGATTGGCATATCATTGAGTTGAGTACCTTCGCCATGGCGCGCCGCATAAAACTCGCCTAAGGCCGGATTATATACAATGCCAAAGGCCGTTTCCTTATTCATAATCAGCGCAAGGGTGATGCAGTAGTAGGGAAAGCCATGAGCGTGGTTCATGACACCGTCAATTGGGTTGATGACCCACGTCAGCTCATTGGTGAGCATCACTTTCTGGGAAGACGACCTAGCTACCACTCCCGCACTGATGATCCTGTGTGGGAAAAATGGGAGAACAGATCGAGGAAATTATGTAGAAATGAAAATCATAATCTTCCTCTTACTTGTGCTCTGGATAAGCATCTTTAATTCCTTTGGTTATCCTTTCCTCAATATCGCTGGATGTTTGCGCGATGGTATTCCTTTCATTGTCCTTATTGCCACCCCCAGTCCGCGCCTTACTGGCCGACAAGGCAATGGCACCCGCCTTCCTGACTAACGAAACAGCCAATTCATACATTTCATCCATTTCCTGCTTAGACTTCTTCTGAGCTGACGAGCCTCCCACGAATGGTACTATTGCTGGTGCTGCTATTGGAGCTGGTGGTGGTGGTGATGGWGCTGCTGGTGGTGGTGGTGGTGGTTGGGATGGTGTGTTYTCATAGAGCAGGCCCGAGGTGTTTGTTGTCTTTGATGCATACTGCTTCGATGGATCGAARGTAATATCCGTATTGCAAGTCTTGGTTACTCCCTCGCTCTTTTCTTTGGGGCATTTGTGCGCCACAGCTTGGACTGGAGGTGGATTGTAAACGGTGATCGTTTGAGGCGTCTCGTGAGCTGCTTCGACTCGAGATGCTTCCTCTTGTAGTCGTGTTGGCGACGTCTTTCCTACCGGCTCCTCAGCCGGCTTAACAGGCGCGGCAGGGACTTGATTCGTGTCCACCGTCGACTTTTCCGGCGTGGGAGTATTAAAGACGGAGATGTGCTGAACTCGCTCCACATCATCCACTGGAGGCTTTTCGGGCGACGCTGATTCATTGTTGGGGACTTGTTGAACTCGTTCCACCTTATGTTGGCTCGGGGTTGCAGAGACTCCCTTTGGGGTTGTCGTTTTGCCTGCTGGCATTGACACACGCCTATGCTGGGAGCGTTGGTTCTTCAGCTCGTGCACCCGCGGATCCAGAGCGGTCGCCTCATGACCCTCGAGCCCATAGCTTGTGGCAGCATTCTCCGGCTTTTCCGCGGCCGTCTCTGTGTTCCTCAATGGTCTGGATTGGTCATTCGGGTCGGTCTTCTTGTCATCGGCCATGGCAATTAATTGAATGACTGCTTCTGATCTACCAACTGCCTCTAGGGAGTTGCATGCTCGTCAACAAGTGCTCAGCCTGGCCCGGATTGCAGTACGTATTTATGTATGTATATATCTATATAAATAATATAGATACATATATGTTGGTGTATGTGTGAGAATGCCTAAACAGAGCTGCCAAACTCAAACAACAATTTCACACTTTGATGTGTGACCCCATGCCATCTAAGGCTCATCATCTCTTTTGTGATATATCTGGCTGTCGGCCAGCAGCTGGACCATTTGGCAGCCCAGCTCGGGCGTTGCAGTGGCCAGGACACGCCTGGACATGATATCGAGCTCGCCTCCCGCTGGATCCATGACTGCGCCGCCTGCTTCGCGCACGAGCAGAGCGCCCGCTGCCACATCCCAGCAATGTGGCAAGAACTCGACGTAGGCATCGGCCGCACCCATGGCCACCAGGCACAGATCCATGACAGCAGA